TATTTTATTTTAACTATTCTTCATCAAAGGATAACTATTGAAATACCCAGCTTTCCCAGCTATTCCCAACATACCTATCCTTTCCATTTAGGTGAGTTAGGTGTTCCCTGTAGAAAGTAAGAAAGAGACACTGTACATGAGAGGCATTCTCAGTGTGCTCATTTCATAGCACATGCATGTTTGCATGCATGCATGCACACTCACATGTACACACTAGAAATATTAGTCCAGTTTCTCAGCTTATGACAACTGATGAAATTCGACTGACTTCAGTGAAGCTAGGCTGAATTGTACCAGCTGAGAATCTTGCCCACGGTCTGAACTCGAGCTGGGTGGGAAATGGTTTTCCCATCTTGTGAACGTTTTTGAGATTTTGAAAAAAATCCCATTCTGTACTGGAATGAAAGTGAGACCTTTTGAAAATTATCAAAAAAAAAAAAAAAAACCCAAAGAGAGGACGAGAGTCACCCTAGAACCACCAGTGAACCGGTGGTTAGGGCACTCCTGTGGGATGTGAGAGACCTAAATTCAAGTCCTAGCTCTGCCTGGTTCAGACCAAGGTCTTAAATGTGGGTGTCCTATATCTCAGATAAATGCTCCCCTCACCTTTTCATTTTGCATCCTGGGCTGAAAAACCTTCCCCAACAAAAGCTTTATCAATAGTGGAATGTTCCCATGAAAACGGTTTTGGTTTAAACTAATTGTCATTTTCTGACAAAAAGATGGTTTGTTTGAAAAATTCCCACCTAGCTGCAGTCTGAATTTACCCACCTCCTGGAGTTACATTTAACTTAAATCACAACAAACACAAGACTCAATCAGTGCTTCCTTCTGTTCCTATGGTTTTTCTTTTCATGCCTTGGCCCTTAGTTCTGCCATGAAAGCAACTCTTGTCCCATTTACAGTCAGGAGTTGAAGCTAATGAGACCCACTTAATTTGGTTGCCGGGGTGAGTCAACAGAAGGGCTGTGTATCTCTAGGCACCTGACAACCTGTCAAGGAAAAACATTTTAAAAGCCAGCTGTGCTGGTTACTTACCTACTAAAATTCAGGCCACATTTGTTTGTGAGGAATACACCTCTCTGTGGTGAGTGCACTTCTCAGCATTTTAAAATTTCTTTTTTGTGGTTTAAAAACCTTCCCCCCACCCCTTCAATTTTTCTGATCCAACCACATAAAAAAATTCACACTTCTTTACACTGAGCAAAGACCACAGAGTTAATCTAAATAATACAGCCAAGGGTAACAGTGCTGGCTGGGATTTTTAAAGAAGTCAGAGGGATTTAATAGCTGAATTCTCATTGAAAGTCAATGGGAGTTGGTACTTAATTCCCTCAGCCTCTTTAAATATCCTACCTGCTCGTAAGAAATAAGAGTACATATAATTCCTTCCTGTGGACCAAAAGTCTAAGCTTTCTGGATGTGACCATGCAAAGTTACCCCTTCCATGGATTTCTTTTAATGAAATATTCTTTGAAATGAGAGACTCTCTTTTAAATTGTGTGGTACGACAGATCTGGGAAGAAGTAAATCTGTGTCTTTATTGAGGCAGGGTGTTTCAGGGTTAAGGTACAGGAGATTTGGGTTCTGTTCCTGGCTCTGCCAATGAGCTGCTGTGTGGCTTTGGACAAACCACTCATGCACTGATTTTCCCATCTGTAAATATACTATAAAATATAAAACTAAAATATAAATATTAAAACTAAATATAAAATATAAAACTATAAAATATCTGCATCTTTAGGCACCTAAATACCATTAAAATCTGGTCCAGAATTACTAAGTGATAGAGACAACAATAATCATCATTCATTCCCAGGGAAGGCGAATGTGACTACTCCTATTTTACTGATTTTCCCATCTGTAAAATAGGAGTAGTCACATTCACCTTCCCTGGGAATGAATGATGATTATTGTTGTCTCTATCACTTAGTAATTCTGGATCAGATTTTAATGGTATTTAGGTGCCTAAAGATGCAGATATTTTATAGTCCCTTCTTATCTTTTTGCCTTTTCATGTTCAATTAGGGGAAAAGGGGTCACCATGCTAAATACTTCAAAAGGTGTAAAATATTCTCAATATAAATACTGTCCACAGCAGGTCCATAACTAAGTACAGATCAAATGAATGTACTTCCTATACAGATATGTCATCCCATAGTCCACACAGTCATATTTTTATTTACTTGTGTTGTGTTGTGTTACATGTTGGCAATGCCTCAGGCAGTATTGTAGGTAATTTGTATTCATAGGTTACAATTTAAAAACTGTCTTCTGGTAATTTTAAATGCTTCTTTTTAGAAATACAAACCTCCAAGAAACACACAGAAAAAGGAATGTGAGGGGAGGAGGTGTAAGGAAAAACATAAGAATGGCCAGACTGGGTCAGACCAAAGGTCCATCTAGGGAGGAAAAACCTTAGAAGATTTCTATTTAGCCTTTACTGTATTACAGTGGGGGAGAACTAAATTCTCAGTGTGTGCACAAAACAACATAAGAAAAATAGCCAGTTGAAAGGCAGTCAGTGGGGGAAATGTAAACAACTTTGCCAAGGGGAAAAGACCAAATGGCACCCCAGGCAAGGAGCATCTTCGGCACTTCTCCCCCCATTTGTTAAACTTTTGAATACCTTATTTTTTTTTATTGCAAAAAAATTTATTTATTTTATTTATTTATTTTATTCATTTTTGTAGCCCATTTCACGTCTTTGATGCACAATTTGCATGCATGATTTATCCCTGTCATTTAAGAGATTCTACAAAGGTCCAGAACATTCTAGGAGGTTAGTGAAAAATGAATCCACATACAGAATACCTGACGCATTTTATTTCAAACATTCTATTTTCCCTTTTGTCGCTAACAACAAAAACAGCACCCCAAGCCCAGCACCCAGGCAATCGCCTTGGGTTGCCTGCCCCTAAATCTGGCCCTTCCCCCAAGTTACACTCATGGAGAGTTTCCTTCACACGTGAAGCTCTCACCCATCACTTCCACAAAACTGACTTATTGTTTCCTAGGAGAGTGCCTCTTTGGGATCAGGATCCATTGCAGAGGAAACAGCTGGGAATGGGTGGCCCAACTTTGGCTATGGACATCTTTCTACCTGCCTTGTAGGTTGCTAAGAGAAAATGATACAACATCAGGGTTTATTATCTGTCCTGTGAAGGTGGGATCCTCCTGCTAAAGGGGACTTCCAGTGCAGATATGAACTTGGAGTTTCCCAGGTGCCTCCACTCCAATAGAGATGCACTGCTATGGAGGAGGGTTATGGGGCGAGAGCTCTGCAGAAGAACAGTATCCCACTGATTCCTTGGGATCCATGAGGTTTGGAGGTAGTTCCAGCAGTCTGTTTCTAGGGGGGAAAGCAGGAAGTGGGGCAGGATTCCCAAAATGATGAGAGGGGATCTTTACTACGGAAACTTTTTGGAGACCTACTGAATTTGCAGGATTTAATGTGAGAGGTGTTGACCCAGCCCTTTGTGCTGACCTGTTGAGAACAGTGTGTGTGTTGAGCTGCTAACATTTCTCATTTCTTGCCTCACTTGGGTGTTGCCCATGGCTACCCACTGGAGTACAATATATAGCTTTGTAGAAACATTGTTGATAGTTTTTTTAACATTGAAAAGTATAGATACAGTATGCATTGCACTGGCTGATGTATAAGAAAATAACCTAATGAAATTTCCCTGAAGGGTTAGCAATATTTAGAGGTATGTAACATTTGTTAAGCCATTTCTGCCCTGTTATCTCCATCACATGCACTCTTTGACAGTACAATCCCAGATAGACAGCATCTGCACAGCTTGTCAATTTCCTGAAGATCATTAATACATAAAAATGCAGGTCCTTAGTATAAATTATGCAAGCTCTATATTAGCCTAGTATGGTACTTAAAAAACAAAAAACCCAAGATCCATTAGAAACTACTTTAGGTTTTTCATAAGGCTCCTTAATGTCCCACACTAAATAAAATATGAATCTCAGTGGGCTGCAGTGTAATAATGGGGACAGGGAATTGAAATAAAAATAGTGAAAAAGAATTCTGTTCAGTTCTTACTGTAATGTGTTTGAGGAATTCATCATGGTAAGGTCATTCAAGAGAAATGAGCTAAAAAGGTAGGAACAGATCCTCAGCTGATATAAACCGGTGTAACCCCATTTGTCACAGTTATACTGATTTACTCCAGCTCAGGATCTGGCTGATTGTATTCTTAATTCAAGAGGGAAGAATTTAAAGAGAGCAAAAATAATTTTCAAAGCTAGGCAGCTACTCACCCAGTGGAGAATCTGCAAAGGTAAATACCCTTGGCTATCGACTATAGCATAATATCAGCAAAAAGAAAGAATATAGAAAAATTAGGAATATTACTAGGCTAGTTGAAATTTAATTTTATTAACGTTTTAATCAATTTTCATTTCGGTAAATAAAAAGTGAGATTTAAAACTGCTATGGTAGAAAAGAAGGTTGAATGGTAGGAGTGAAATGAGGGGACTCAGCATTTAATGTTTCAGACTTTCTGCCAATTTTAAATTAAACAATTTTACAATGAAAAGAATCTTTAAATCTTGACTTTAGGGTTCAATGGTGGGATACTAGGCCAGACCCTCAGCTGCTGTAAATTGCCTTAGTTCCACTGAAGTTAGTGCTCAGACATGCTGATTTATACTAGATGAGGATCTGGTCCCTTGTCTTTTCTCATCATATTGAGATTAAATAAATGTCTTTCAGCTTAATTCATATAGTGTTTTGAAAGTTTACAATGTGCAGTTCTGTCTCTGTGAATTAATATTTTAATGCAAAAACCACAGGCCTTCTGAATTTTAGAAGAGAAGATGCTACTGTACCGTTCTACATTTATCTTGGCTTCATATTTATATGTGGCCTGACTAACATCTTGAAGATCATATCTAGTAAAAAATAAAACCAACAGGTTAAAATATTTAAAGGATTCCTCAATATTTTACTACCTCTCAATAGTAAAACCATGTTCTTTTCTCAGAACAAAAGCCTGAAAAACAAACTCCTGTCGGGAAACAAGCTTTGTGGTATTCATGCAGAAGAGGTGAGTAGAGTTTCTTACTGTTCTAATCCTAACACACGCAGAGAGACAGAAAGAGAATGTTGAGGATTGCCATAAAGAATTTCACACAGAGACTCTGGGCTAGATAATGTAGCCTTCATGTGTAGCTACAGCTAGTGTTCAAAGAGGCCATGCATCTAAAATCTCTTCTCATTTGCTCCCATGACAAAACCATACATCAGGAAACAAAATACAGTCTCCATTTTTAGACAAAGTAAATCCATACGTTTAGATTTGAGGTCATTGGGGGAGATTGTCTGCCGAATCCCAGGATCAAAAGCCTTGATTTTCTCCATTGGTCCCAATACTAAAAAGTAGAAATAATAACTCCATTGTCTGAGTAATTTTGAATAAAGAATTCTAAATAAAGCACTGGAGAAATAATTTTTAATGTTAAAATAGTGTATGATTTAAAAATATATGCATGGCATTTTACCAAATATAGAATAAGAAGTGGTGCCTCTGCCAAAGAGCTGGCAATCTCATACAGACAATATAAAAGCCCTGATTCTTCAAATACTTAAGCATGTGAGTATTTTTAGTCATATGAACGGTCATGCTAGCTACTAATGGTTGCTACTGAAGTGAGTAAAGTTATGCACTTATTCGAGTAGTTCCCGGTAGTCAACAGGAGTACTCAGATGAGTTACTATTGATTCCCACCATTCTCAAATAGGAATCAAGCCCCAGTGATGTAAATCAGGAGTAACTTCAGTGAAGTCAAACTGGAGAAGCATAAAAATAGAGAAGAGTCATCAACAATAGCGTACTCTAGGGAACAATTATGCATTGCCAAGAAGATAGGCAAGATGATCTAAGAATAAAACTTTTCTCTCTCAGTCTAATGAGTCTGCAGAAGTCAATGCATGTTGCTAGAACACCACAGTATTATCACACTTGAATCAAGTACATTTTAATTCAGAAACAGATTTGAAAACTTGTATTTTCAAAGTTATACAGCCAGATACATAATCTAAATAACTGATTTCCATTGATTTCAATTGAGCTACACTGCGGGAGATCTAGCCCATCATATCTAAGAAATTTGCAGCAGTCAGAAGCAATAGATTCTTTTCTCTCACTTTGCTCAAGCTACATCATAGTATCTTTCTGGTTTACTCTACAGTATTTGGTTTCAAATGTATTTTTCTCTCCCTTTGTACTACTGAATTGTTGAAGTCCTGGCCTAAAAATATGACAGTGTTATTTTTTTCTCTCTTGCTAATTTTGCTCAGGGTTCATCACATCTTGAATTTTTAGTATTATTTAACTTTATTTTTTTCTATTAGTTTTGCATCTTATTGAAATACATTAGAATATTCGCAACATAACTATGTATAAACCAGTACTGATATCTACATTTAAATGGAAAACACGGAATTTGACATTCCAGTGTTTGATATGAAATCAGTGTCAATCAGTATATTGCCAGTAAATCTTGTCTTTATCCTGGGAGTTTGAAGTGGTCAGAATCAGAACTGCTTGCAACCTCTCTCTAAAAATTCTCATTGACGTATCTCTCAAGTTTTAAAAAGACCTCTCTATCTCAATATGTGTTTACATGAGAGACCAGATTAGCTGAGGTGAAGTTCTCATCAAAATGCACAGCGGGAGAATCATTGTGAATCATACTCATGGATGTTAAGAAAGCCAAGTGTAACACTGCTCCTTGTGGACCAGCTGGTGTCTTCCTGCTTCTGGAGACACAGAAGAACCTAAAGTGCTGAGAATTGTATTGGTTCCACCTCACAAGGGAGGGTTAGGGATTACAGGCAGCAAAAGCATGCCAGACTTCCCTTTGCATACTGGGGAGCTCTACTTTCTCTATGACACCCTAAGGAGGGAGGGAGGCATGGCAGACCATTCTGAAGGAGGGCTGAGGCAGTGGCCTGCAAGCCAGAACAACAGGCCTAATTCTCTGTATAGGATGATCACAGTTGAGAGCAGTAGAGATTCCATTCATTTCTATGGCTCAAACCAGAAGACTGTAGGAGACTTAATCCCCACATACTCTCACATTATTTTCAAATTGATGCACAATAGGAAATAGAATTAAATTTGGAGGCAGTTTATATTTTAGTGCATCTAATGAAATACTCCACTTATTTTTATGGTGCCAAGTTCTGAGGTCCTTTACCTAGTAAATTGCCTTCAAATCAATTCTGAAATTGATTTGTGTAAAAGCTAAGTAAGGAATTTAGGATTTAACCCATGAACAAACTACTAATGTATTAGCCCAACAATATGTGACCTAACTGGCTGCACTAAGTGAAAAGCACTTATTAACATACAGTACAGTATGAGAATCAATGGAACTCTTGTAGTGCACAGTACAATTCATAGTATAGTGTAGTGTAGTATGCCTTGTCATCAGGGAATTTCAAAGAATTGAACTCTGGATTATACAAAGAGCCTGTGGTAGCAGATTGTGAATGTGCTTTACTTTTCAAGTGCCAGAACATTAAGCTTTGTAGGTAGCCTTTATGAATTACGTGTTAAACCTGGCCAGCACAGCTAGGATGAGATGCTGCCCAGTTGGTGATTTGGTGCTCTACTCTAGCCAGGATTCAATGGGGTAAAACAGGGAAATGCATACTGTTTTCTTCTATTCTGAATAGGAGGAGTAATATGCAGAATGAAGCATACATACTAGGTGGATGCTGGTGTGTCACTCCCTCTGCTAGTAGATCAAAACCCCTTTAGGCTGCGGTGTGTGGAATGGCATGGTAGTAGGTTGCTCTTTCTTTTTCTCCTTTAAATGCTACTTGGAAATCCTGCTCTGCTGACTGCCAAGGGAGCAGGAAAGGTAGAAATTCTCTGTGTCCTTCTTGCACCAGCACAGCAGAAGGCAGAATCCTACCTTACATCCATAAACTGTTACAGGGTGGACACATCCCCCCAGTGTCAGATGTTTGAACTTAGTGGAATTACACTAGGGATGAAATTAGCTTTAGGAATATTAATTTTACCAGCTAGTTGTGCAATTAGCAAATGGATGATACTAACATAAGTATAAACTTATTTATTTTGCTGTAGCTGTTCTCTAAGAATCATTGGGACTTTTACACTAAAAGCTAGCACAGCATCAACAGTCTAGTGTTGAATAAAAAGCTGCCATTATCATCAGGATTGAAAGGTGGGTGTGCGGCACCATCTCAGAATGTTAGTCAGTTACAGATATGACAGAGAGCCACAGGGATACAGTGCTGCTAGTAACAATTATAAAACCAGACATAATTTTTTCTACTAGCATGATCAGGAAAAAGCTGGTAAATGTGGTCTTAGACATCAGCTGGTAAGACATGACAAAAGATCTCTTTGCTAACAAATGGTTTCAGAGTAACAGCCGTGTTAGTCTGTATTCGCAAAAAGAAAAGGAGTACTTGTGGCACCTTAGAGACTAACCAATTTATTTGAGCATAAGCTTTCGTGAGCTACAGCTCACTTCATCAGATGCATACTGTGGAAAATACAGGAGACCTTTTTATACACACAAAGCATGAAAAAATGGGTGTTTACCACTACAAAAGGTTTTCTCTCCCCCCACCCACTCTCCTGCTGGTAATAGCTTATCTAAAGTGATCACTCTCCTTACAATGTGTATGATAATCAAGGTGGGCCATTTCCAGCACAAATCCAGGTTTTCTCCCCACCCCTCCCCACACCCCCCCTCACAAACCCACTCTCCTGTTGGTATGTGTGTGTGGGGGGGAAGAAAACCTGGATTTGTGCTGGAAATGGCCCACCTTGATTATCATACACATTGTAAGGAGAGTGATCACTTTAGATAAGCTATTACCAACAGGAGAGTGGGTTTGTTTGGGCGGGACCTGGATTTGTGCTGGAAATGGCCCACTTTTATTATCATACACATTGTAAGGAGAGTGATCACTTTACATAAGCTATTACCAGCAGGAGAGTGGGGTGAGGGGAGAGAAAACCTTTTGTAGTGATAAACACCCATTTTTTCATAATTTGTGTGTATAAAAAGATCTTCTGTATTTTCCATGGTATGCATCCGATGAAGTAAGCTGTAGCTCACGAAAGCTTATGCTCAAATAAATTGGTTAGTCTCTAAGGTGCCACAAGTATTCCTTTTCTTTTTGTTAACAAATGCCAGTGTTGATCAGTGGCGAAGCCAGCGAGGGATCCTATGTAAGCTGTACAGCTGGCAAGAGGCATTTTCCCTTTGAAGGTTGATTTCAACCTCTCTGGAACACTGGACCAAAGGTTTTAAATTCCTTTTCAAAGTGTAGCCTCCAGCTTGACTTACAATATAATACCTCACACCTGTCTGGCATCTTTCTTAGGATAATTAAGTGTGGAATAGCAACCATATTTTCATATATATAATATAAAGTTACTATTGATGTGTTCATTTGACCTCCATGGTTTGTTATTGGGGTCCAAACCCTTAAACAGTTAGCTGCTAGCGACTGGAAAAAGCTGCAAACCCTCTACCCCTGAGCTACTGAGTGTGAGAATTTTCTAAAGGAGTGAATTTTAGACTTTCCTATAGGTCAGTGGCAGCTGTATATATCATAGAGATTACATAATTTTTTTAGGACCAAATACTGATTCCATTAAGGTCAGTCGCAGTGTTGCCATTGTTTTAATTGGATCAAGATTTGACCCGTAAGATTGAAGTGTACTAATGGTTATATCTGGTAGTCCACAGAGCCATAATGACTTTTCCTTAGAATAGAGCCTTGGCACATTCTGTTCTCCAAAATAAACATAGAGGCCATAAGGGGAAAAAGAAATGTGGAATAGAAAGATAGCTCAGAAGGTAGAAGTGAAATATGCTAATCTCGGCTGTTTGATTGACCAAGGTTTCAGGTGAACCTTTTCTTCAGTTTCACTTTGTGAGTGGTCTTCAAACTCTGAGTTTCATGTTGCGTTATAGGCCTGAATGAACTTGTAAACTGAAAGCAAAAGCAAAGCTGCAAGGTTTTACCTGGTTTCTCTTCATAACCATGTGAAACCAATTAAAAATTAAAAAAAAAATGACACATTTATTTAGAAAACTGCAGTGGTCCAAGTTAGCTTAGAACTTTAAAATGTCCATTCAAAAAGTTTTGAGCTTTAGGATTTTTTTTTCATATATCCATAGATTAGAGGCCAGAAGGGACCATTGGGATTAGCTGGTCTTACCTCCCGCCTAAGACAAGCTGTAGAATTTCACCCAGTGATTCCTTCATCTAGCTCAACAACTTGTCACAAAATTATAACGTGTCTTTTCGAAAGACCTGCAATCAGGGGCTATGTCTGCCCTGTACACCTTACCGCGGCGTGCCAGTACAGCCGTGCCGTCGTATGGCACTCGGTAGAGCTGCTCTTTGTCGCCGGGAGAGAGAGCTCTCCCACCAACCAAATAAAACCACCCCCAATGGGAGAGCAGTTCCCACGGACGAAACACTGTCCACGCCAGCGCTTTTCGTGGTTAAAACTTCTGTCATTCAGGGAGGTGGTTTTTGCATATCCCTGAGCGACAAATTTTTTTAATGGTGAAAGCTCAGTGTAGACATGTCCTGACTTAAAACGTCCCAGTTATGGGGAATGTGCCAACTCCTTTGATAAGTCATTCTCAAGGTTGATGTCCCTTTTCAATGGACTTGGGATGAGTTTTGAATTTCATTCCACTAAACTCTAAATATCAGAGACCGTCCAATACCATGAAGATGTCATTAAACATGCAAATTGATGGGGGTACGGAGGGTGTTAAAAACCTCACCACAACAATTAAAAACTCAAAAACAGCTGGCAGTGAAGTACTTCGGTCTTTACAATAATATCTAATTTGAAGACCCTTTGGAATTATTACAATTGTGAAGCCAGAAAATACTTTATTTGGGCTGGCTGCTCAGATAAAGGGGAGGAAAATATCAGTGGATAAAGGAACTCAGTATAGTTCAGATTCTGCTTTTTAAAAACTTTTTAAAAATATATAAGAAAAGTAGACTAAATGGATTTGAAATTAGTTTATTAACAAATATTTTTCTTAAAATTAAAAACAAAACAAAAACCTTTCTGGGCCAGATCCTCAGAGAACATAAATCAGCATAGCTTTGTTGACTTTACACTAGCTCTCTATACGATCTGTACAATGTGAGTCACAAAAAGTACAAATAAACACATAATAGTAGAAATCATTAAACACTTCTGAAGATTCTCACTCATGCTGCCTTCATTTATGCTTAGCTGTGAACATTTAATAAAATCTTGTGTCCGAAATGGATGAGTTAAACTAACTGTATGTAACAATGTGATAGCTTGTGAATGTATTTTAATTGGAGGTCACTTTTTAACTCTTCCTTGGGTCCCATAATTGGTTTAGACATACTGTCCTTGCAAAGAATGTATATACATGCATTCAAAAGAAAAGAAAGAGAGAGAGAGAAAAAAACTTGACTTTTTGATTTTGCTTCACTTTTTTTTTTTGTCTGAGCTAAATTGTCAGAATTTGCTGTCATCTCCTCCACAGGTTCTCAAATGGAAATGATTTTAAAGATTAATTTATTATCTTCCACTTGCAGTCAAAAAAGATCCAAGCCCAGCTGAAGGAGTTTCGCTATGGGAAAAAGGATTTGATTTTTAAGGTGAGTTTATATTTCTAGAGCTGGCTAAGGTATTTACTTACAGTCAATATAACATTACAATCATCCAGTAGGATGATAACTGCCTTTATTACTGGAGAACTGAGAAATCATTTCTCTGTCAACATAATGAAAGAAGCTCAAAACTCTGAATCACAGACATCATTCCCATAATGTGCTCTCTGAAATCCCCTCTACTTCAATGTTGAAGAGACAATGCACGGTATTACAATGCTTCCTGTGGCAAAGATAGAGGTGATTTCAAAGCTTCAAAAATTCTGTTATCTTCTTCATTATTTAAAATTAAAGTGGAAAAAATATTTAGCTTATGATTATTTACATTAAAGTGCCTACATAGACCAATGTCCCAGCCAGTAGTTTGCCAGTGACCCAAATCTCTCCCATTGTTCCACAGATTCCTGTGAAGGGCTTTTTTATCTTTCTAATTGAGCAATAGAGCATTTTACGGCTGCCTGGTGGTTTCTGTTTGATTAGCAGTCCTCCATGCTAAAGCTGTGCAGGGTAACATTTAAAGAAAAGCATTCTAATATTTGTGACAAGTAGACTGAATAATTTGTAACAAACATGGAAAATAAAATGTTATCCTGTAGGCATCTGACTTTTATCCATCTACATACCCCTCTGCTGAAATTTCTTTTCTGCAACTTCCTGAAAACAAAATGAAGTATCTATTAGGGATGTGCAAACCAAATTTAGGTTCAGTCTAATTCACATAAATACCCCAAAGTTTTGATACACAGCTGAAACATATCCAAATTCCTCTTTGTAAAATCAGGCAGATAATATTATGAGAACAGGATGTCTCATGGAATTTTGCATACTTACTACTTCTGGTCTTTGCTGGAACCTAGAAGATGAGGGAGCAGAATTAGTGGTAGGCCCTAGGCATGAAAAGCCTTATCTGAATTTTCACTAACTTTAGGCAGTTTCACAAGAAATTTGAGGAATTTTCTCTAAGCTAGCTCCAGGGTTTTAGTTTGGAGCTAGAAAAATGATAGCTAATGAGGTAGAATCAACTCCACGTCAGTTCAGGTTCAGTTTTGATTTTAGGTGAAAAATTTAAGATGGGAAAGGAAGATATTATCAAAAACTGGTTAGGGGGAAAGGTTTATTTTATTTGCCTGCAGCAGGAAGGCTCAACTCTGACTTCTAGGGGGTGACCATGATGACGCTAGGGGAGAGAGAACACTTCAGTCTATACTCATTCAAATCGCCAAGAAGGGTGCCAGTTGTGGTGGTTGGTGGTTGGTTGGTTGTTCTGGTTTGGTTTTTTGCATGGCCAACACTCCCATTGGCCACCAGAAACTTGTTCTCCCATTTATTTCAAAAGGCCACAGGATAAACAGTAACCATTATCATCACTGAATTTCTGTTCTGCTTGCAGCTGTAAAAAATAAATATGGCAGCTATGTCTCCTCTAATTCTCCAGTGAATCAGCTCATAATGTTTAATATAACCTGACTCTGCAACAGCATCTTATCAGTTGCAGTAAATAAAATCTAAAGTAATAATAATACTAGCACTTACAATCCACATTATATTTTCAAACCACTTGACAAATATGCACAAATCAATCTTCATAGCCTCCTTTAAAGGCACAAAAGTACAATTAATTATCACCATTTGACAGGTGGGCAAAGTGAGACAAAGGTTAAATGACTTGCTCAAGGCTATAGAGGCAGTCAGTGTGTCAGTTGGGATTTGAATTCCAGTTCCTGGCTCTCAGCCCAGTGTTCAATCCACTAGAGCATGCTGCATGGAGAGTATTGAGACTATTATTTTTAAAAGAAGCAAACTGTAATTTTCCATGTGTTGAAACAAGAAAAACTAAGAGCATGTAGTGACAAATTTCAGCAGAGGCCTCTTATTTTATAGCCCCACTTGTACAGCAAATTACCTCACAAAGACAGCTACAGTTTCTCTGAGTCCATTTTAATTATACTAGTAGCCCTAAAACCCTGACTCAGCAAAGCACTGTAAGCATGTGGTTAAGGGACTGAAGTTTAAGTACTTTGCTGAATCAAGGTCTATGTTTGTTTCAGGCATTTCTAACTTTTTTTTTTTCAGGCTGCTTCTTGATATATTGATGAGAAAAAATCAGATATTTTAATTAATTAAAATAAAGAAAAAATAATTGATTGTGTGTGTGGGAAAAATACAAAATGTAAACGTAGGCCTGATATAAATTCAGGATAGTGAAAAAGATCATTCAGTAATTGCACTCATGTCAGAAATATAAAGGGAAGGAAGGGTAACCACCTTTCTGTATACAATGCTATAAAATCCCTCCAGGCCAGAGGCAACATCCTGTTACCTGTAAAGGGTTAAGAAGCTCAGCTAACCTGGCTGGCACGTGACCCAAAGGACCAATAAGGGGACAAGATACTTTCAAATCTTGTGGGGGGAAGGCTTTTGTTTTGTGCTCTTTGTTTATGTGGTTGTTCTCTCTTGGGACGGAGAGAGGCCAGACAGAAATCAATCTTCTCCAACCCATCCTAATCCAAGTCTCCAATATTGCAACCAGTATAGGCAAGGCGGATTAGTTTATCTTTTGTTTTGTGTGAATTTTCCCTGTGTTAAGAGGGAGGTTTATTCCTGTTTTCTGTAACTTTAAGGTTTTGCCCAGAGGGGGATCCTCTGTGTTTTGAATCTGAATACCCTGTAAAGTATTTTCCATCCTGATTTTACAGAGATGATTTTTACCTTTCTTTTTTTTTTTTTTTTTTTTTTTTTTTTAAATAAAACCCTTCTTTTAAGAACCTGACTGATTTTTCCATTGTTCCAAGATCCAGGGGTTTGGGTCTTTGATGATTTTGTAAAAAATTGATTAGGATATTATTCTCAAGCCTCCCCAGGAAAGGGGATGTGTAGGGGTTGTGGGGATATTTTTGGGGAAGACATCTCCAAGTGGTCTCTTTCCCTGTTCTTTGTTTAAAACGCTTGGTGGTGGCAGCATACTGTTCAAGAACAAGGCAAAGTTTGTACCTTGGAGAAGTTTTTAACCTTAGCTGGTAAGAATAAGCTTAGGGGGTCTTTCATGCAGGTCCCCAGATCTGTACCCTAGAGTTCAGAGTGGGGAAGGAACCCTGACAACTCATTACGCGGTTTTATACAGATCCTTTATTATTTCTCAATCTTTTTCTTTATCAGTGATTTCAACTGTAATTTGTACAAAATATGAATACTTATTTGAGTGTGTTTTCAGTTTGTTTTTGTGATGTGTTTAAATGGTTCTGCATTATAGTTTCAGAAGTGCATATTTCATGTATTGTCTATCCATTGTACTACTTTTCATTTAAGATTCCAAGGTAAAATAACAATTGTTTCTCCATATAATAGGAAAGTAAAGCTGGTGATCTGACAAGCTAATTATGTGTCAAAAGCTTTGGAAAGTAAAGATAAAATAACGAGGAGAAAGGGAATTTTAAAATGTTATTGGCTGAGATAATGAAAGAGGTTTATAGAATTACATGACACATCCACTGGAATACATGTAATTAAATCCCCTAGACTGCCTTGATAATCTCTATTGGTACATTTTAATTCTTTTAAGTGGCTTCTCTGATTAGGAAGAATTCTAGGTATAAAGTCCTGAAAATAGAGGTTTTCTACATATGCAGTTGCTATATCCTGTGCAGTAGCGGCATAAGCTTTGTTTGCCAGCATAATTCAAACTTCTATAGTACAAGGTGGGGAGCCCCATTTCCATAACTATGTAGTCCCTGATTTATCTGCTGAGACCACTGAAAAGTTCAGTTTGTGACAAAGTTTCTGTGATTGGAGGATTGCTCACTTAAAAATGGACTGCCATTTATAGTACCTCCTCCAGGAAGGTACCAAGCACCCTCAATTCTCATAAATATTGGTGAATATTGAGGATGCTGAGCACCTCAAAGGAGGCCCTCAATACTCCTCAGGATTGAGTCCCTTCATATTATTTTCTTGAAAGTGGGATTAATTTGTCAATTTGTAGAGACTAGAAAGACATGACAGGATTGAAGGAAGCAATGTTTTGTTAAATCATCGCATATGAATAAATTAAGCATGTGGTGAAGTGCTGCCCTGAATAGGGATGGCCCATTGTATTAGTTTGGATGGAATATATGGAATAAAAGTGTTGGCATAACCTAGTCACTGTCCATCAATGTTAAACAAGGTTTGAGGATTGGTATATAGAGACCTCAGCTTGCTTAGTACCATGTCTCATTAAAAAGTCTTTTAACCTTTTATTAAAGATAGAGAAAAGAAGGGAAAATAGTTAAAACATTTGAAATGTAAAGTATTAAATCAGGCTTTCATTTTAACTACTTGGTTTTGTTCCCTTTTCCTTAATCTGGAGAAAGTTTTAAAAGAAAAAAAGCCTCTTTGTCTGATGGTATCAATGGCAGTAATAACCTTCCTTTTGGGGGAAAAGCGAATAGGTTCATTGAGAAAGGCTGTAAATGTCATTGTTGCTATTGTTAAAGTCCAATTTTAGAAGGGACCCTCTCTCCTTTATTTTGCGGTTTCTTAGATGGTATTAAAGGTGGTAATAACTGGAATTCTAGGTGGTGGTTGGGATTCAGCTGGTGCCAGTAGGGGGTGACGATGTCGTCTGGGTCCCTCTCTCTCTGTCTCAGGATGATGAAGGCACAGGGTCCCAGGAAAACAGTGCAGGTGGCAGCTATGATTAGAAACTAGCTTCAGAAGCCTAAGTATGTTTCTCTTGCCTGTTCTTTTTGTTCTTTTGAACTTTCCCCACAAAATATTTCTTTTAAGAACTCAAAAAGGGAGTGTAGGTGGCATGGCCCACCCCCTCATTATTTTGTCCACCAATTAGGCTTAGTGTCTGGCATAACAATTTTGGCTCATTATCCTCTGGCTCCGCATCTTCTGATTTCTGACCAGCTTAATTTGAACATGGTCGCTGAATCGCATCAACCTGGCCTGTTTGTTTAGACTAATTCAGTTATTCTATCTTCCTTTTTTACTTTTTCCCATCA